CTTGACTTGGCATTCAGATGAAAGAATTATTGATGGAAAATTTCGACATCCGACAGATTCTCCACAGTGGATGAAAATTGATAATGATTATCCTGAATTTGGAAAAGAAGCAAGAAACCTTTGCTTGGCATTGTCTACTGATGGAATGAACCCACACGGTATTCAAAGTATCTCGCATAGCACATGGCCTGTGATTCTTATGATTTATAACCTACCTCCATGGCTATGTATGAAGCGTAAGTACATGATGCTGTCTATGTTAATTTCTGGGCCTAAACAACCAGGAAATGACATAGACGTATACTTGGAACCATTAATCGAAGATTTTAAGATTTTGTGGGAGAACGGTGTGGAGGTTTATGATGGTTATAGGAAAGAAAGTTTCAACTTGAGGGCGATGTTGTTTGGAACAATTAACAATTTTCCAGCATACGGCAATCTATCCGGGTATAGCATTAAAGGTGAAAAAGCGTGTCCTGTTTGTGAAGACGGAACCGATACCATGCGATTGAAACTTTGTCAGAAGAATGTCTTTCTCGGTCATCGTAGATTCTTAACTTCTAAACATCAGTATCGTGGATGGAGAAAAGCGTTCAACGGAGATACCGAACAACGTAGAGCTCCGCCTGGTTTGACAGGTGATCAAATTTTTGAAAAGGTGAAAGATGTGAATATTCAGTTTGGCAAGCCTTTTGCACATAAAGTTGTCACAGGTGGGTGGAAGAAGAGGTCGATTTTTTTTGAATTTCCATATTGGAAATCTTTGTACGTAAGACATTTTCTTGATGTGATGCATATTGAAAAAAATGTATTTGACAGTGTTATTGGTACGTTACTCAATATAAAAGGGAAGTCTAAGGATGGCCTTAAATCAAGGGAGGACATGGTAGACATGGGAATAAGAACTGAACTGGGACCCGTGAAGAAAGGAAGACGGACATACCTACCACCTGCTGTTTACACTCTATCTAGAAAGGAGAAAAAAATATTGTGTAAGTTTCTGAGTGAAGTTAAAGTTCCAGAAGGCTACTCATCAGATATTAGAAGACTTGTGTCTATGAAAGACCTCAAGTTAAAGAGTTTAAAGACGCATGATTGCCATGTTATAATGGAACATTTTCTACCGATAGGTATACGTTCTATTCTGCTAGAAAAGGTAAGAAGCGCAATAACTAAATTGTGTTTTTTCTTCAAGTCAATTTGCAGTAAGGTGATCGATCCTGAGATCTTGCCAACATTGCAAAAAGAAATAGTTGTTACTTTGTGTGAGCTTGAAATGTATTTTCCTCCCTCGTTTTTTGACATAATGGTTCATCTTGTCGTTCATCTTATGAAAGAGACACAATTGTGAGGACCAACTTATATGAGATGGATGTACCCTGCTGAACGTTATATGAAAATATTAAAAGGGTATGTGAAAAATCGGAGTCGACCAGAGGGTTGTATTTCCGAAAGATACATTGTTGAAGAAGCGGTTGAGTTTTGTACTGAATATTTATCAAATGTTCAATCAATTGGACTCCCCAAATCTCATGTTGTTGAAAAAAAAGAAGGTAAGAAGCTAATTGGAAATAAAGTTGTGACAGTATCAAGGGTCGAACGGGATCAAGTGCATTTGTATGTTCTGCACAATGAGATTGAGGTTGAGCCGTATGTTGAAATACACAAGGGTGTTCTTCGAGGTTTAAATTCGAATAGAAATGAGAATTGGATTGTACGAGAGCACAATCGAAGTTTCATACCATGGTTTAAGGAACATATTTATTCAAAGTATCGTTCAGATCCCGCCTCAGTGACAGAAAGGTTGAGATGTTTAGCATATGGTCCAAGTTTGGTTGCGTTTTCTTATAGCGCATACGCAATTAATGGATACACATTTTATACCAAAGAACAAGATGATAAAAGTACTGTGCAAAATAGTTGTGTCACCTTGGTAGCTGAAGCAATGCACATATCTAGTGTGAAGGACTTAAACCCGAAATTTGCAAATCTATCGTATTTTGGGGTTATCGAGCGCATTTGGGTCTTTGATTACGAGAAATTTCAGATTCCTATATTCGGTTGCAAGTGGGTTGAAAATAATAATGGTATACGGATGGATAAGTCCGGATTTTTGCAAGTGGATCTTAACAGGGCGGGGTACAAAGATGAGCCTTTCATTCTAGCCTCTCAAGCTAAACAAGTGTTCTATGTCACTGATCCGACAAGTGCGAAATGGTCTATAGTGCTTTTCTCTAACAAAGTAATTGATGAAAAGATTGGAGACCAAGGCGATACTGGTGTTGACATTGAATCTTTTACCAGAAATGATCAAAATGAGAATGAATCATGCATTAGAAATGATCATAATGAGGGTATTTGGATCAATCCAACCGTCCGCGTTGTTAAGAGACGAGTAGAACATATTCCTACCAAGAAAAGAAAGAGATGTTAGTGAAAAATTATCCGAAAATGAAGCTACTGATTGATACGTAAGTGACATTATTCTAAATATTCGTTTGTGTTTATATATTTAATTATTTCAATGTCATTGTTCTAAATAAATATTTTAATTTTGTCATCAGTTCAATACAAGTATTCCGATGTCAAAGGGAAGCACGAGTACCACGGTCTAAATCAAACAACATTAATTGGATCAAAGTACAGGTATATAAATTTCAACAATTTTGCTTATAATATTTATGCTACTAGATAAATCAATAGATGTGTATAATCTTATTTGTTTTTCTATGTAGTGTCCTCAACAACAAAACGGCATAGATTGCGGATACTTCATTTTGAAGTTTATCATAGAAATCATTCAAATGAATGAAATCGAGATTCCAATCACGGTATGGATTTATACTTTGTTTTATTACTTATCGGATTTTGCATATAATTTATTACATTAAACTAAATCATACATATATTTTGTTTTGTAATGTAGTATTTTGATTAATACAATTGTCCATATTACTCGCCACGTCAATTGGAAGAACTCAAAGAGGAGTTGTGCCAATATTTTATTGAGCTAAGAATCTTATAATAAGGTACGAATACATTGTTGTGTGAAAATTGGTTAATTATGAATATATTGTTTTGTGTATACAACACTGACCGTGTTATTATGTTCATATTGCAGGATCAGGACCTTGGATATATATGTAGATTAGGATTGATTTACTTAGTGTTATATAGCTAATTTCTTAGGGTGTATTTTGTTACGTTTAAAAACATGTTAATATTGAATTACCATGGTGTATATATATTTTGGATATGAATTGATTATAATGGTATTTGTATATATATATATATATATATATATATATATATATAATATTTGGTATTTGAATTACATTTGGTATTTGGATTAAAACTAATATATATTGGTATTTCTAGATTAGATTGTAAAATACCGGTTTAAGAATTACAGGTTTGCTGCAAAAAAATACAGGTTTAGAAATTTTTTAAATTTTAGATTTTTCAGTAGAAAACCTATGAAAGCGCTTTTAAGAAAAAAGCGCTCTCGTAGGTCTACCTATAAAAGCGCTTTCTGATTAAAAGCGCTTTCTGATTAAAAGCGCTTTCATAGGTAGGCCTACGAGAGCGCTTTTTTCTGAACAAAAAGCGCTCTTATAGACCTACTTTAGATTGCCTTACACGCATTCTGAATACACCTATGAAAGCGCTTTCAAAAAAAAGCGCTCTCGTAGACCTACCTATGAAAGCGCTTTTTACCAAAAAGCGCTTTCATAGGTAGGCCTACGAGAGCGCTTTTTTCTGAACAAAAAGCGCTGCTAAAACCTTTAGCAGCGCCACCTACGAGAGCGCTTTTAAAACCCAAAAAAAGCGTTTTCGTAGGTTATTTCTGGCATAGTGACAACATAGTTGTTTTACTTCGTTATACATTTTGATTGTCTTCGAACGTTTTCCAAGAAGTTTCTTAAGAATTCATCAATGCTTTGCGTGGAGAGAAATCCCATGGTTTTTGTATGCTCCGAGTTTTCCATTAAGCTGATAATAAAGTGACATATTTGGAGGATGTTCCCACATATTCTATCAAATGATCTAGTAGGGCCTTTTTTTCAAGTATTGTTGACGATGATAAAGCTCATAGCGAACTCTGGTACGCTGGTCTTAAAGCTTTGTTTGATAATGAGAATGTACCTGTAAACACTCAAATGATTAAATCAATGGCGATAGTAAGTAGAGAATCTATGGTAAAATAATAGTGTGTACCTGAGAATTAAGTGTTATTTTTCCTTTATAGCAAGTTTCTAGATTTTTATTGGAATAATAGTGTTTTTTTTTCCTTTCAATAGATAATGTTATTTTAGCTAGCTAAGGTGACACTTCTTTGGTATATATATATATATATATATATATATATATATATATATATATATATATATATATATATATATATATATAGCTGTACTACCTTTAAACTCTATTATTGAAGAATAACATATTTTTCTTTTTACTTCTCCTTCTTCTACATTTGTGTTATTGCTTTCTCTGCAACCTTTCTCTTTCTGTATGAAATCTTCGATCATCAACAATTTTGAAGCTATAGAATCTTCTTGATTTCAAAACGTCACATGATTATTTGCATCTAAAAATCCATGATGGATGAGCGACCCTAATCTATTGTACCATTAGGAGGAATGTATATATTCTAGCAGGTCCACTCTTTTTCACGTGCCTTCGAGTAATTTGGTTTCCTGTGGACTCGAACTCAGTCCATATAGAAACATATACTAGAAAAACGAATATGAACAAGTTTGCATAAAAGACCAGCATTCCGAATTATAGTGTCCCAAAAAAATAAAATAAAGTATTCTGCATCAACATTAGATTTATTGCTGAATAACAATGACACAAGTTCTGTTAACGTGCTTTTAATTATGCATTTATTAAATTAAAATAAATTTCATCACTTAAATTTTATTACTAGCAACAATTTAAAAAAACCAAACAAGAACTCTTCTCAATCGGTCACTATTCTGTTCCTATTTTCATTACATAGAAGAATACCAACTATAAGAAGACGGTGACGACAAATTCAATTCCAACACACCTTGTTGATTTGTCCTATCACTACTCTCCTCATGAGATTGCACCCCTTTGTTCCAAACAGTTGAAGCCTCGTGACTAGCATTAACAAAATGTTGTTGATGATGATGAGGCTTGAATTCTGGTGCACCAGTGAGTTGTTGAACAAGCTCTCGAAAATTCATAACATCCACCTCATAAACTCTAATAGCTGCTGATGGCTGTGGTGCTATTACTGAAGTTTTTTTCCATGGTTTAGGTTGTGTTTTTCTGACGGAATTGAGTAGTGAATTACTTTGAGACTTAGATGTAGGATAAGAGGTGGTGGAATAAGCTTCCATAGTTGTAAAAGTAAGTATTGGGTCAGTTGGAGAGAGAAAAGATGCGATTATTAGAAGATGACTTTATTTTGTTTTTGTATATTGAAGTATTTATAGATTGTTGTTATAGCAGCCTGAACAGTGAGGCAATATGTTATGTTAAAAAAATGTGTTGAGTGTTGTGTTGCGTGCATGCGTTGATAGTCAAATAAAGGCAACGGTATGGGAAAGGAGATGGGATTCTGACAGTATGTTTTGTCTTGACCGACGGCTGCATGCTGATTTAGCCATGACATAAGCAAGTTATATAACTAATTCAATTTACTCTGGTCAACATTATGACATGGTATGTTGTTGGATAACCCTACCATTTCTATTTTTAAAACTTCATCCTAATTATACTAAGACTTTCTTTGGATCGGAAATATTGAGTTAGTTTAATTAGAATATCTATTTAATGCTTCGACAAAGTTGTACATGTAAATACTTTGACACTCGGTTAGTGAAAATTGTGTTTGTCATGTTCTGAGTACAAAATAAATTGTATCTAGAGAGGTGGTGATTAAGGCTTACATAGTTTGGAGATGTAATATTGGATTTGACTCAAAAGTCTGGTTTAGAATAGTTGGTCCTAAGCATTTAATTAATAGGGTTATATGGTGACTTCAGTGTTTCTTTGAATTTGTAGATGACTGTTTATGAGTTCTTTATTGTTCTGGATCAATCATATCTCTCTCGATTTGACCATATCTCCACTGATTCGACTGTCTTGGGACGGAATACCCCCAAATACGAACGTATCAACCAGACACTTAATCTACTTCTAAAATATTCTCTTGAGCACAAGAATATCATGTATCCAACATTAGGGAATTCATGCCTCAAGCATATCCAACGGTCCTCCGCATTTCACGCCTGAAAGATAGTGAGACAATTATTCCTTTCCTATATATATATATATATATATATATATATATATATATATATATATATATATATATATATATATATATATATATATATATATATATATATATATATATATATATATATATATATATATATATATAATTGTAAAAATTTAAGACCTTAATTTTAAGACCTTAATTTTAATTGTAATGTTACAAAACTTGATGGAACGTTGTAATTTAATTCTTTAATTTCTTTGAGAGACTTTGATGGAATTCTTGTGTTTCAAATTTCAATTTTGTTGTTGTATATTTGTGTTTTTGCTGCGGATTCGGTTTTGGGTGAAAAAATCCAAATCCAATGGGTTTGGGCGTGGGTGTTATTTTGCCACTCAAATAGCCTTTGGGTTTGGATTCGGGTTCGGGTGGTGATTCCGGGTGCGGGTTTCGATAGTGTGAAACCCGCAATCGACCCGTTTCCATCTCTACCTTGCATGTAAACACCCACTTCGTCATATCAAAATCTCTCTTTCACTGCGGCTTCCACAACTCTTCATATTTATGGTTCTATAACATAACACTTATTGTGACTATCATCACTTGAATATGTTGTGTAGTTTATTGTTCCAATGACAAAGTTGACTTGTGAACATAGTCGTTTTGGCTTCAATATATTTTTACATTCGTGTGAGTATCTTGGAGGATACATTAGTCTTTAAAATTGTGCTTTGATATTCATTTGTTGTGTATGGTAGGTGTCATTGATATACCAACATCTATGAAAACAAGTGATCAACCATAATGTAAATGCTTTTGTCCTCCCTAATGAGGAATCATCTGTTAGACGATGACAACTTATCTAGAGAGGGTGAATAGACCCTCAAAGAAAAATTTTACTTAGAAATTTGTTTTAAAAAATTAAGCAAAAACTATGGCAAGCGGAAATTATACCCTAGATCATAAGTCGTCCAAATTGAACCAATTATTGAAGGCTCAAATATGCATAAAATCAAACTCAATTAAATGATGATGATAAGATCTTAATAAAATAAATTCTCAGGTAATTGTCTTACAACTACAAGGCTAACCAATATCTAATGAAACAATTGATAAAACTAAGTGAAACAATTTATCGAACACTTGGTATTGTAGTAGTAGAAATGTTCAAGACTAAGCCATTGGATTGACTAGACTTATACAAATCAAAATAAAAATCATCACCGCGCTTTATTGTTTTCAAAGGAATTGGAAAAGAGCGAATAACCCAAAAAGATGGGGAAAGATTCAAGGTAAGGGGGTTGGTTATGCAAAGGGAAGGTATTAGCACCCTAAACATCTACGGCACTCCGCAGGAACCTCTTTGTAAAATATGTATATTTTAGCTATGAAAAATGTTGTATAAAATAGATGATGGAGGTGGGAAAAGAAACATATTTTTATTATTTTTGTATCCGTCGCGGTTGCGAATCTTTAGTGTCTATGTACCACCTTTTCATGCAATAGGGGATCAGGGTACACGTAGTTCCTCTTTTAAAAATTTTAAAACACAAATGTGTTGGTCAATTTTATGAGATAAAACATCATCGTCATTGTCCGTGTGGAAAACATACGTACTACCCACAATCATGAGAAAGGAGAATTTGCATCATCTCAAAATGGAAGATATGACTTGGATTTTAAAGTCAACAATGCCTTACTCAACACCCAAGTGGAAAATATCTCTCTTCACTACATATTATAGAAGTATGGTTGTTTGCATCACTACAAGGATTGACAAGAGTTCAATCTTTTGAGAAAAGTTTAAATATAAAAGCTAAAGTTGCAAGGTGGTTTGAAATGAGATTGATTGACTTTTAGTCTTCTCATAAAAATGTCAAAGTATTGTTAAGTTTATTGGAGTTTATTTATGAAAATGTTTGAAAATGCATGGACCTAAGTCCAACTTTATTATAAAAGTAATTCAAGTTTAAAACAAGAAGAGTTTTCAAAAGGGGGGGAGAAGATTTTTGAAATTAAAGAAGATGGGAGGAGAAGAAGAGGCTATCCTAAAACATAAGGTAAAAGTTAGGGATAAGAACCATCTAACCAACAAGAAGCCAATACTTAACATTATGAGCCAAAATAGAATTCCCATTCTTTAGATTGAAACCAAACAAGCAAATGACACTACACCTCTTGAGAGAACCAAACTTCAAGTGTATTAAGTCTTCACAAAAATTGGACAGAGTAACGGATGTATACAAGTGAACTCCAGATTACAAACAAAGGGTGTAATCACAATAACCTACACACAAAACAAACAAACAACCCAATGTCTTGAGGTAAACCTCAAGATCTCCAGAAAAAATAATCAGATAAGATCACAAGGTCTCCAATCATAAGCCAAGGTTTCTAATCCTAAGTCCAAAAAGTCCAATGCTCTATAATGCCAAGGGTAGTAACCAAATAGTCCAAGTATCATTAAAACATTTTAGGGTTCATGTTGATTATTAGGTGTCTTTAAAAGAAAAGCTCAAGTGAGCAAAATAAAAAATGACAAGAATATAAATGGGCTCAAGTGAGTAAAGATGAAAAATAACATGAAATGTAAATGCTAAAAGTAAATGGTGCATAAAGTAAAGAACATAAAATTTCATAAAATGACCTATAATCTTTAGTATCCTTAAGGTAACTTCTATCTATTTTCTCACTTTGCGCATAAAAGAAGGCATAACTTTCACATCTTCAAGATCATTATGGAAAAATAATGGGCTCAAGGTGATGAAAATTGACCAAGTTATGAACATTTGATGTCACACATGGAAAAATGGGGATTCATCTGAAGGACTTGTAATCTTTCTTCATCATCAAGTTTCTTCCACATGAAAACTCCTTGGAACTTTTGAAGTGATTTGTTGATATCCCTTTGAAGAGAAGGATGTCTTTAGAATCACTCAAAAATACTAAAAGATGGGCAAGATATACTCCTTTGAAGTTCAAAACCCTAGCTCCTAGATTAAGAAACATGCCTTGAGGAACTTTGACAATTTTGAACAAACTTCTTGTACCAAAACAAATGCTTTGTAAATATAAGTTGTTGAGGATGATAATGGGAACTCATAACAACTACAACCACTTACATATCTTGATAATTGAGAGAAATATGAACTTATGACCAATTGGAACAAGACCTTGTCCAACCATGACTATTTTTCAATCAACCCCTTATACTTTTTGGATAAAATCTTGATAACTTGGAAATGTAGTGAACCAAAATAACCTTGCCATGCCATCCCTTCCAAAACAACTTCCACGGTGAGGTTTGAATTTCTCAAGCTTTATTGACTAGGTCATGGAAATAAACTCATGAACCCATGGATCAACTTGCTAAGCCCCATTGCCTTTATCTACATTGTTGACAAGTAAGACAAACCAACATTGCATTTTATTAATTAAAAGGAAAGTCAAACAAAACATGAATGATTACACAAGAAAAACAAGTCAAGGTGCTTAGTGATTCCTCAAAGAGAAAAGCTAAAGATAGGGAGGAGAACCAAAAGCCCTAATGTGATCTTGTTGTTATTGAATTAATATGGTATGGTGAAGGGATCTTAGGGGCAATAATTGGGGTACAACAGTTTCCCTTATTTAAGTGACTTCTATCCGGAGATACGAAGGTTAAAAATATTCGTGTCGACGCGATCGAAGATACTTAAATATAAAATAAACCCTATTTTTGGCCCTAAGATGCCATGCAATGCTTATGAATATGAGTGCACATGGACAAATCCAAAGGGACGCAAAACACCACTAGGGATGTAACAATAAGAACGAAACAAGAGAGCGACCCGACCAGAAAAATAAATCACTGGTGGATAAAAAGACCTGAGCCAGAGAGGATGGTAAAATGGTCAAAGGATACACTAACTCCTACTTGAGGTAAATCTACCAACGTTCACTGAAGGTAGAAGGAAAAGAAATATCAACACCGATGTTCACTGACGGTGAGCTACCAACATTCACTGAAGATAGAAGGAAAATAAATATCAACACCGACGTTCACTGACGGTGAGCTACCAACGTTCACTGGAGGTAGAAGGAAAAGAAATATCATAGCATCGCCGTTCACTGACG